ATCAGACCTACTTTTTGATGAATCTGAATCCGAGATACTGATGAAGGAATTTGGCATTAAATTAAATGAAAGATATGTATTGATAATGATAATGGAAAACTTTATTCTCTCATTACTGAAAAAATAAATAAAACCGATACCAAATTTACATTTGTGGTAACAATCTCTAGAATTTTCTATGGATTTCTGCTTTTCTCTAAATAATTTCCTTACTCGTGAACATGATCTCCAGTAAGTCATCCAACAGTGATTTCAAGAATCAACGATCAACTACGGTAAAGTATATAGGCATAAAGTTCTCTACACGACATTTCATCGAGCACACCTATTCATGAAATTGACTAAATCATGCTGAACACCAATTGTAATTACAAATCTGTTTCAAAAGAAAGTACTCTATTCTACGTATTTTATTTTACGTGTAGTACGTCATCAGTAAGTAAGTAATTTAGTAGTTCACTTCACTTTCGTGAATCTCCGAGAGATACTTCCTCTTGTAGAGTATCACTTTTTCAGTATTATCAAAGTAAATAAGTTCAATATGTTAAAGCCAGCAACATTACCAATGGAATCGTTACGCCAAAGCATAAATGAAAATGATAATGATCGTCTAACGATAAAATTGATTAAATCTGGTGACTTCTTATGTTTTTTTTCTGTAATTTACATTTAGTGCTTCCGGAAATTTTATAAATAAAGGAACTGCTGGTGATAAGGTAAAATAGACACGATAGAATTCGTATAATTCATTTTGTTTCAGATCTCTTGTTACAATTAGTAATAATTGATCCGCTCACAATTCCTCTAGCAATTCAATTAATTAGTTTGACAAAAGAATTTTGAAAATCCTGTTTATTGCCCACGAAAGCAGCGTTTCATTGACACACTTGATTAACGTATTTTCATCGTTGGCCTCATTAATCAAAGGCTTAATTATTAATTATTCGGTTGTGCCTTCAAGATACAAAAATTGGCTGTTTAGTTTGGATATTTTCCATGACATACGACATTTCAAATGAATCATCCGTTTATAATTATCAAATATTCATCACATCTTCATAACAATGTCTTCATGGCTCTAACTGCTGACAAAACAATTGAATCACTTATCGGAATTCATCTGAACTATGTCTATGAAACAGTCAATCAATAATAAAAATCAATCATTCTCCTCGGAGAGAACTTCCGTAACTGGATTTTCTCCACCAAATTTTCGAAAACCAACAATGGCATATACAGGACCGGTGTAGAAATCAAACTTTGTTTCAACCTGATAGTCAACTCCAGTCAACGATGATTCATCAAGTAAACGTAACGTACTCAGCGGAATGTCTAGGAATGTATGACTGCAAACAAAAAATGATATTCATAGTCTTATCAGATCAGAGAAAAGACAAAGCCAGCAGAATCGTTTGCCCTGTCCACTTTTGCTGTGACATTTCCGCAATACATTAATAACGCAATACATTAATAAGCAATATTAATAAGCAATTCCTTCTGCAGAAATGATAATTTTACACAGTAAAGAGAATATTTCTGATAAATATTGACTACACATGAAGTCACGTAAAAAACGCAGTTAAGAGTTTTTCAGAATTTGAAGAATTAAAGAGCATTTAGTGAGAAAATGACTTTACGACATTAACGATCACGAATAAACTGAAGTAAATTAAGAGCGAATGAACAAATCAAACCTTCCAATTCTCAAACTTTGTTTTCAATATTTCGCTGGTATCATTTTTATCTACGAGAAGGGTCGATGTGTTTGTTTCAGATCCATGAAATATTAACATTACGCCATCCCTTATCATACTTATGAAGCCATTGTTTTGTTTATTGAAACTGAGACATTTGTAGCGGTAAAATTGAAATATTTATCGTCTGTCCATTATTACAACATCCGTCCCCTTTTGGAAGCCACCGTGAAGGACATTCTTATTCGACACTGGAATTAATGTTCATCTCATCAAGCACATTTTGTGGATGATTATTATCATAATCAACTCTTTTCGGTGTCATTTCGTTCTAGATTAGCCAAGAAACAATCAAGTCTGACTTGAGCACTATCTCGATTATCCGATTGAGCAACAACACAAATTGGAGCGTTACGGACTCTCCTTCGAATTTCTTTGGCTATATTCAGTGCTCAACTTTTAGCGTTTTCACGAGTATATTCGAGATCGTTGACAATCACAATGACAACCTCGCTGTATCCTGAAATTCATGATTATCTCATTAGGTTCCGAAAATCGTACTTCTAATAAGCTTTAGTTAGGAAATCTTACGTAGAATTTATTTCGCTATAAACATAATATTACGGATTGTCACATACTGATGGATTAAGCTTTAATTAACTCACTTTATCGATTTCCGGGGTAGGTATGAAACGATATCTTCTTTATCCGCTGAAAAAAACTGTTGCAGTTAAGGACAAACATGACAATGACCAATGTACCCATTGAATATTGAACATTCAAAAGAGTTTTGCATTGATCGTTTGGGGCAGAATGAATTACATCCAATTCTGATTGCTTCGCCTAATATCCCTTTTGCACTATTATGCCTTCTGATTACAATTCTTAGTATATTTAGAAAAAAAGAGATTTCATTGTCACTCAAGCATTACTTCATTACCATTATCACTCAAGTATTATGACCACTCGACTGTCACACTTAATTATTAATGCTAAGTTTAGCGTAGAAATCACTGCAGTATTTGTGTCAAAAACGATAAAATCTCAACATTGAATGACTTTGGCATAACTTGACAATGATTACAGTTTGCTTCTGTTAATATAAAAGATGATTAACTTATTGCTGATTTGCGAGAAAAAAATAGGGCTTGCACGAGGATGGACTTAAATTTTATGGGATAATCACGCCGTTCATTGAACTGCCTTTTATTTCATCGGAGTGGAATGAGTTATCTGCTGAAATCACATAATTAGGACTTTTTGTTTACTTAATAGTGCTTCAATGCCATTCTTTAATTAATTACAATAAGATTATGATGTAAAAATTTGTTAAAACTTTCTTACTGTATGTGGATATGTCGAGTATTTCTGCATGATCTTTGTGAGACATGAATATTAGCCCTGAACAAAGATAGTGCGCCATGGGTATTGCATTAATTGCATTAATGCATTACATGCATATTGCATTAATTTTCCTCCATCAAACAGAATAGTTTGACCTGGTGTCCAATGATGCATCGCAAAGAGTTCGTGATGCTAAAGTTTGAATTTGCATCATTATGTCATCAAATCCTCGTCTCTTGTAAGTTTCAGATTTTCAACAAATTATTATTCTTGACAGGAACATGGCTCACGATCGGTGAAAATTCGTCTTACGTACGAGTTTCAATATCCAAATATGACGGGGTTACTTTACTATCCCGGTAATATAGTATTCTATATCGACGGTTTAACTCGTAGTTTACACGTTCAGACATCACGGGGATTGCCCTGTAAAAAGATATGAAAAAATGATTCACTATTTCTATTATTACCAATTGATTCATTACAATTTATTAACTCATTTCAATTTCCCTTATCTCCTACAATTATTAGTTATTGAAAGTTACTAATAATTGAAATTACAAGATTTGGCTGGATATGATTTTCAGACCTAAGGGAATATCTGTGACTTGATAATATATAAGTGAAAGAAAAGTGTTAACTTGCTAAGATTTTTTAAATCTTCGCTGGATAAGTGACTGGTAATTATATGTTCTGATTGTTTAAAAGGAGAGATTAGTTCAGTGTTGGGATGCCGAAGTTTAATTTTAATCTTTCTTTTTTTGGGAGTACTGGGTCCTTCCTCATCTGTTCCTCCCGAAATTTTAATTAATTCATAACTAATGTTCTTGTTCTTCACATATTTAAACAGAAAGTGCAAATTCATTCAAATTTCATAATTATATACAGTGTACATTTCAAAATAGTTCATTTAAATTTAAAACTTAAAAATTAGAAAAGTTAATATTGGATAATTAACATAATATTGGATGATTCCACATAGCTCGAAAGAAATGTGAGGATGGCCAAATATCCAAAATCCATTACGATCATGAGCTGTAAATTAAAAGTATACGATGACTAATTAATACCATCAAATGAGTAGAAGAAATTGTAGAAATGAATTTGATGAGGATGGAAGCAATTTGTGACAGTAAATTGAATACTGAACGAAAATATTGATCTATTATAGTGAAAAGATCGAAATGGTCAATGATCAGAAAGATTCAGAAAAAATCGAAATTAATCTCAGTTTTTTTTGCATTGAATAGCAATGCATTGTAAAACAGAAAGTATTTCATGCAGAATATGTTGTGAAAAAATTAATCTTTCCTTTTATCGAGTCGTTTAGATTTAGAAGGTTTAGCCTTGAGTTAGGATCAAGCAGAACTTTAATTAAAGGCTTACCTTGTGAAGACGTCGAATATATGTTGTATGGACACAGAGTAAAATTTACCGCTTTATTATTATAATGCAGGATTATTGATGAATAACGAGTAGTAAATCGCTTGACCGTGAGTCAAAAGCTGTTGTAAGAATACTATGGAAGAGCACTTGTCCAGACAAAACCTTTTTACAAAAAAGTGTTATATATAAAGAAGTAGGACTGGTTTACATAAAACGTTGAAAG